GCAATGTCGATGGTTTCCAGGACAAACTTTCGCCCGGTAGTTCTTGTGGAACTTCTCATCAGTTGTCATCACCGTCCACTTCTTGTAAATGAGCTCGCCCTGCTGCAAGTCGCGTAGTCCATAGTTGCACCCGTCTACACGGCAAGCTAGCCACGGGATCATCTGCTCTCCTAGCCACTCTTGAAGATGATGAAGCGCCAACTGTTTCCAGCCATAGCTGTTAGTCGGCATCTCCCAGTAGATCTCGGTGGTGGCGTCCCGGGAGAGCACATCTTTGATGAAGTCGATAGCAAAGCTCATCGTTCGCCGGTCTCGGCGCCGTTGGGTGTCGAGGTTTCTCTGTTGGCGAGGTTGTAGTTTATCAAGTGATGACCATGGACACCAAGATTGACATGGAAGCGAAAACCATAGTTTGCGAGGCCTTCGTTGATGCCATAGCTCGCGCAGCGAGGTCCATGTCGCTTCGACCTGTAGATTGTAGCCCGTTTGCAGGTTTATGGCACGGGGTTGTAGTCCATGTCGTTCCGCAGCCTCCGTGAGCCATGAAGGGTGTGCTCCTGAGAGCTCCCACACGCCATCTCGACCATCCAACTGTAGTCCGATCAAGGTCGTAGCAGAAGCTGCCACCATCAACGAGGCCATCGTCATGACCTTCTTAGCCATCTGCTGGCTGAGAGGCCTCGACTTGTCCTTCATGGGACCACTTCCACCTCGTTCGAGTAGTCGATGATCAGCTCCTCCTCGGCCTCGTGACTCGACGTCGTGGGGTAGCCGTGGTGCACCATGGTTGCCGTCGTCGCGGATGTGTTCACAATCTCCCGAATCGATGTCTCCAGCACCTCCTCGGCCGTGATCTTGTTGAACATGTGCAGACACACCTTCGCGGTCGGCTTGTGGTCTCCCAGGAGGGCCTTTAGCTGCGTCAACATCTTCTTCACCATTGCCGGGTTGTGAACCATGGTGGTATTCGACGGAGCGCCCTTCCTTGGTGTGTACAGTAGTCTCAAGTCGCACACCTTGCAGTGCACCCACTGGCCGTGTTGGTTGGCCTGTGCAGGACCCGGTTGATGTTGTCCGTAGCACGGCCAACATCGAGCGTTGCCGCGGGGATCCCTTGGGTCTGACTTCATAGTCCTGGCCATATCCAGCGACTTGGCTCTCTTCTTCGGTGCCGCCTTGGCCTTGGCGGCCGCTGCAAGGATCTCCGCCGTTTCCTTGTCGATCGTCGTGCTTGATGTTGCCATGGGGCAAAGAGCGAGTAGAGGAAGTTGTCGGGGCTTCAAGCGGCTGAGTTGCCGCGAGCATTGAGCAAGAATCTGCTGAGGGATGCTGGCCTTGAAGTTGACGCGACAACCGGTGAAGCATCATCACTCTTTCACGGGATCTCTGAAGCTCAGTTGATTCAAGCTCCATGTCACTGACTGTCAGGTCAAACTGAACAACATGAAATTCAATCACATGGGCCTCGGACTGTGACAAGGTGGAGTTTGAGGAGGATACAACCACATGCGCATGACCTTCGAGGTTTACATGTCCACGGGTGATATACTCTCGGATGTCCAACATGAAGTGTCCCTTGCGATTCCTTTGAAGTTGAAAGATTTCTGGCCTATCATCAAGTGAACTGGTAGCTAATCCGGTCGTGAAGTCAATGATAAGACCGTTTGCATCCTTCCCAAGAAAGTCCATGCCGATCAGGATAGGTACTAAGGAAGCTTTGTCAAACCCGGCTTGAAAGTACTCCTTGGGGTTCGGTAGGGCATAGAGGGAGAAACTCCTGATCACTCCTGACAGCGCACTGGCAATGCGAACCCGATACAGAGCACGACCCCAACGACCATCACCAAAACGAAAGTAGGGCCGGGCATTTGCATCGATGTCCACGCGGGCTCCACGATCCTTCTCAAGAATCGAGGCTATCAGCCCCTTCACGACTGCTTCAGGAGCTGCCGATGCCGTGGCGCCACAATCTACCATGCCCAGTTCTGGGGTCGGTTCCGTCGTCACTGTGGCAGTTGCCTCAAGGGTCGATGTAAGTTCAAGACCACCTGCAAAGAAGTCGGAGGCATAGGCATTGACAGTCCGTTGGCTGCTGTCATGATGTTTGCCCTTGCCCTTGCCTTTCCACGCAGCATCGGCATTGAAGTACATGCCCTGTTTCCCCTTTGGCTTCCCTTTTCCCTTGGACTTGCCTTTCAGGTAGTGCGCGTCCATATCCGTCATGTAGCCGTACTTGGACTTTCCCTTGCTCTTCCCCTTGTTGTAGCCTCCTGCTCGCCGTGGACAGTCACGTAGTAGATGAGGGCCACCGCACGAGAAACACTTCATGCCGGTGCTCGGTGGTGCTCCAAAACCGCGGTCCCTCTTGAGGGCTTGTGTTGCTCTCTGTGCTTCACTCCATGTCCGCTGGGCCTCTAGCGCCAGCGTCTCCGCGAGCTGTTCAGCTTGCATAGCATCACGTAGCTTCTCCTCGTCAGCGGGGTCGGTCGTCATTGCATTCGCCTGGCCAGTCGTTTCCTGACCATGCCATTCATCCTGCCACCACTGCTCCTCGTAGGACTCCGCATCGGTGTAGTAGGCCTGCGGCTGCTCGTCCCACCAATCGTCCTCTTCATACCATTCATAGCCACTTCCATCCTGGTAGTAGAGGTCGTTGTCGTTCATCTCGGACACATAGTTCCCGTGATAGGAGAACGAAGGGCGTGGCCGGGACCGATTGCCCACGAGCTGATCGTCCCACAGATTCTGGAGAGCAGTTGATATCAAATCATAGTCCATACTGTTCTTTGTGGAGGACAGTATGTCCCGCATCTCGTCCGGTGACAGGCCAGCCGCCTGGAGCAATCTCCAGCCTCGAAGCACGCTGAGAATGAAACTATCCGTCAGCGTGAGCTCGTCGAGAGCCGTTGCCGGTTCTAGGGGACTAGCCGGAGATGCGCCTTCTGTCCGACTGCCTGTCTCGGGATCACCACGATGACTGGGAGACGAACCTGCCGTGGCCTTGAGGTCCTCTTTCACGTCCCTTTTTGCAGAGGTCGTAGGAGAGGCTGTAGCTACCACTGGGTCCGCTGTCTCGTCCGCCGCCAAGCCGTCCTCATCGTCACCACCGGTGACTTCATCTTCTTCCCAGGACCACCATCCCCAGGAACCCGCCGTCCAGTCATCATCGGCCCATTCATCATCGGGTAGTCCGAAGTCACGTTGATCCTGAGCAATTCCTTGTCGATCTTCCCAGAGTCGTATCAGGGCTTCGACGAACTCTTCATGGATCAACGTCTCCCGCACTAAAAAGTTGCCGATGGACTCACTGGGGTTTCGGCGGAAGGAAAAGTATTGGGTACAGATAGCGGCGGCGTTGGGCAGATTGCGACGGACCAAGGGGCTCGAGGCCAGTTTCCTGAGTAGGAGTTTGGTCCCGTCTGGGCTATCCACAACCATGCGTGACCAGCTCATCGCCAAAAGCCTCGCCGGTCCAGTTAAGCGTCCCAGTAGCTGTGACGCCACA